AACTGTCTCGTCCTTACAGTATGGAGATGACACGATCTTTTTATCTTCAAAATGGTTGAAAACCATGTTTTTTTTACTGTAATCATCAGTTTTTATTTGAATCACATCCTTTTAGATTTGATCAGAGTAATTTCTTGAAGGGTCGAGTTGAATTTGGTAGTCCCCCTCCTTGATTGGATGATGTTTCAATGCATCACCGAGTTGAAAACCTCCTAATGTCTTGTTTGGGAAACCTTTTGAAAACCAAACAATAGAGGGTTTTGGGAACACCCATAATTGGGTGAAAAAGTGCATTTTTTGGGAACTTCCTTATTGGTAGGATAATCTTATTCAACATAATCTTGATGTAATGCACTATGAGAAAAATTTCTTTGATAATATAATGCACACTATTATGGATGACAATAAGAAAAAAGACAATGGGAAAGCGAGATTGGATTTAGCCATTTATTGTGACTGAGGAAAACTGCACATGGGATATGATACACATGGTAAGCTTGTGAAATCTAACGCTAGTTATGCACTTACCTCCAAAAAACAAAAGCTTCTATGTGCATGGTTAAAACAATTGTGCTTTCTAGATGGGTTTGCTTCCAACATATAAAGATGTGTCAACTTGAATAAGTCTAGGTTATTCGGGATGAAAAGTTATCATTGTCATGTTTTTATGCAATGACTAATTCCAATTGCTTTTTGTGGTCTATTGCCATCTGTTATTTAGGGTCCTTTGACTGACATTAATAACTTCTTTCATTCTCTTTATTCCCCGGACATTAGACTTACTGAGATGCAGAAGTGGGAGGCAAAGATTGTAGAAATAATTTGTAAGTTAGAATAATATTCCCCCCAGCATTCTTTGATTCTATAGAGCACAATTCATCTTCCATAGGAGGCGAAAATTGGTGGTCTTGTTTAATTTCATTGGATGTACGCATTTGAAAGGTAAAACATACAAATAAATTGATAATATTAAAACTTACTAATGATTTCTTTTAAAATTAATCTTATCAATATCTCCTTTCAAGTGCATGTGCAAACTTAAGAGTATCATAGGAAATAAAAATCATATCGAGACCTCAATTGTTGAGGCATTTATATTATACGAGATAAGCCACTTCTGCTCTCGTTATTTTGGGGACGATGTTGAGACAAGATGGAATCAGTTGC